TAATCTCTCGTCTTTTAATTGAGCTTAGCTTTTTTTACTACTCGTCTTCAGTCAGTTGCCTATAAAGACCAGTTAAAATTCATTCCAGATTGTTATTGTGATTTTATGAGACTTTCGTTTAGTTTAGTGGTACGTAGAGTGAAACAATCATAGGCTTTTCTGTTAGAGATTTGTAGTGGTTCATTGGTAAAAGTGCTAACACAGTTACTAATTTTTGAGGTTGTGTTTTTGATTTATAATGGCAGTATAGTCGACTGAAAACGAAATTTTTTGCTATTGCGGAATACACTTACGCTCAAATTTTTTTTTTTTGCTGATGTCTAGTTTTGTAACGAGGAAAGAATTTATGCTAGTACTGCAGAATGATTGCACAGGTGGGTTTGGAGGTTGTTGGCCAGTTTAGGAAAAATGAGAAAGTCTTTTGAATAGTGGTTTTTAGTTCTGCCGATTATTAATAGCCCAACTCGCTGTACAGCATTCTTGAATGATTTTTTTGTTCGTTCAATAGTTCTTCCATTATACGGAGGATTTTAGTCCGGTTTATAGGTCATCGTGTTTTTGGTTGCTTACGAATGTGCGAACGATTGTTTCTTTTTCAATTTTTGTCAGGATTGATACTGTTTTTATTTTTTGTGTGCACCGTAGGGTATTATTTTGGTTTGTTTTGAGGACATTTTAAATGACAAGCTTGTTTTGGTGAGTCAGTATTATTTGGATAAATTTCTCATTGTTTCTGAACTTATTTTGTGTGCAACGTGAAAACATTACTTGTTTATATTTTAATGTTTAAAAAAAAAAAAACTAGAGAATTGGACATTTTTAAATCAAGAGTTTTGTGTGGTTTAAATTAATTTCTCTATTTTTCGTCGAAAATTTTTATTAGGTTTGTTTTATTTGCGTACTTTTCCAAACAACTCTATATTCAGTAATTTGTTTCTCTGAAACAAGTTTTGCTGAATGTAAAGAAATTGTTACACATATACACGCGCTCATTGGAAATGTGACTTGGACAGTTTAAAAGATTCATGAGTTGGCCTACTTAACGGATTTATTGGATCTAATGCTATTTCTCCAAATTTATTTGTATTTGTCGACACTGGAAGCCCCTGCACTGGAAAACGTCGAGCCCCCTGAAGCATACGTGGATAGTTTTTATTTTAACTTCTCATAATTTCTTCTGCCTTTAAAATTTGGAGAAGTACCCAGACATATCGACTCTGTCAGTTTTCGTCTTTTTT